TACTCTAGGGCCAGGACATTCGGTGGATCAGACCGCACCATTGGCATACTAGGGGGCTAGTACTTCATTAATAAAGTTATTTTGTCAGTGGCTCTTCTGGAACCGCTATGGGGGGTAAAGGGTTAAATAAAAAGACGAAGAAAACATTATATATATCTAGTCAGTTTATACTGTTTTTTACATTCTGTACGAAGAGCAACTTGAAAATGACAGTATCAATAGGTCGAAATATCGAACTGTAATTTTAATCGTTGATTTTAGATTTAAAATTTTTATTTTTTTATTAAAAAGTTTTTATTAAAACTTTTATTAAAATTCTTAACATGATAGCCGCAATTATTATCAAATTCTTATTCTTAACCTTGCCCATAAACTCTCAAAATATTAATCATGATCAGTAAAACGATTCATATATAATTTTATTCCCTTTATTATAAACTATCAAACCAATATAATAGCCTTCAGTGTTCAACAAATTCAAATATACTCTAGAGTCTAGCTTGTTTTAGGCTAACAATTTAAAGCTTCACATTATTCATCATGGAAATAATAGGACATCTGTAACGAGGTAAAAACGTTCATTTCAAGGATATGTAAGCGCATGTGTGTCAATCTGATCACATCACACGTGATTCTTGGTATCCAGTGAATAATGTGTATTTTTGCCTGTAAGTAGCTAACCAGTAAAAGTCAGAGAATACTTTTTATTTTGATAAAAAGTCATCTTTATTAGTCATTTAATAGCGGAAAAAATATTCCAATCTTTATTGGCATAAACATCGTTCGACTACTAAATCTGATGACGATTTTTGGATATATTTATATGCAAGTTTTGTCTCGATGTATAGTACATTTCTAATCGAATTATAAACGATGTCTGTCTTTATGATCAATACAACAATTTTCCCGTTTACCAAATATCCACCAACAATATTCCCAGCCCATTGTGTTCCAACCGAGAGGACATGCACTCGTTGCACCATGCATATGACAATCCATTTTTTTACATTTTCCATCTACCATATTTATTAAAACACTAGTCATTGAAACAACAACAAATAATAATAACATCGACTTCATTGTTTCTAATATTTTAATATATATTTGTTTCTAGATGCTAAAATGAGAAAAGTATAATTGTTTATTGTGTCTGATTAATTATACTCATCATAGGAGGAAAGGGGATCCTTCCACCCATTTTTTTTCGACCTGTTTGCAGAACACACTTCAGAACATATATTTCAAGACTTCTTTCGGTTTCGAGATTCATAGTTTTTGAGAAAATTTTTTTAAGTTTCGCATAGGCTTTTTTTGCTCAATTTTTAAAATTTCCATAAATATTGGGAGCTTGTAAAAATTTGAGCGTCTTTTCTCCTCAGTGCAGCGTCTCAGTCTTTTCAATTAAAGATTGATCTTAAGGAATTTAGCGGCAGAAAAGTATTATCCGATAGAAAACAACATGATAAACAACTTCTACACTTACATTCCCGCTCCAAAATGCTTTCTCGCAGAGAAACTATAGGCAAGATCTCGAAAAAGCACACTTTTATCCCCAAACACCCATTCTCAAGGTCAAATCCGAATATCTCCGCCAAACTTGTCACGGAACGACGACAATCTTTTCACAAATACATCTCGAGGCGCTCTATGGAATTGGTTACAAAACTGAGGTTTCAAAGTGCAAAGTAAAAATTTTATTTATATTTTAAAAAATGGGCAAAAAAGGCCAAAAAAACTTAAAAATTTTTTCTCAAAAAATACAAGTCCGTAAACCTCCAAAATGTTTTCATATATATTTTGAAGTATCTTCTACAATCTGGTAAAGTTTGAACCAAATCTCAATGGGTGTTAATAATTCAATCTTGGCTTCTACTCATCTTTTGAATTCACTACGATTTAGATCTATTATAAAACTAATACTTCGACTTCTAAGCATACCTACTGACTATCGTACGTATTAATTCTTGACTTACGTTTTTCCAAACACGATATGTGAACAGTTAAACTTAATGTTTTTAGTATTTCTGAATGAACGTTTGTAAATGTTTGAATGAATAGCAATAGAATGAATGAACAAGAAAAAGAAAAATATACTTTTTATTAACACTGAACGTTGTATTGTTTTTCAACCATGTTTTCTCAACCATGAAATAACCTTAGATGATGTGGTCATCGTCTATGCAGTTGAAGTTCATACTGTGTTTTATTGACGTGTGTAACTACAACCTTGAACTTTTTGTCAAGAGTTTTTCTAGGGTCGAATAGTAATTTGTTCAGCAGTTTAAACGTTTTCAATGATTTGAGACATCTATATGAATAAAACAACAATGTACTGTATATAAGTCATATAAATTATATTTTTTCACTAAAAAATATCGAAATGACACTCATTCAAACCAAACGCGTTTATTAGTTCACAAAATTTAAACAAATTTATCATGCACCATAGAATTCAAGAATAATCAAATATAGACTAACGATAAGATGAGGGAGTGCGAAATATTGTTGGACTGATTCGCAGTAGTTTTCTTACTTTTCTTAAATATTTCTTTTCTTCCACTAAAAGCAATTTTCTTTTTACAAGATATCATTTTTTACCCATAATATCCTCACTTCCTGTTTGTAAAGTGTTAGATCTTACCTCTGACCATATTCTCCGATATATCACCTCAAAATGAATTTTTCAAGCTATTTTATGGCATATAAGTAAAGAAAAACTTGTCGAAAACAACACTCCAGTGTATCTGACATGAAAAATAACAAGTTTAATTGATTAAATAAAATTTAGTAGCATTCAGCTTTCCTGTTGCTTTGTTTAGCATCACGTACTTACAACGAAGTATTTCGAAATAAAAGCCATGGAGCCATTATAAAAATGCAATATCTAAAATAACTTTTATTTCTGTGTCACTTTTCATTCTTAATGAGCCACATATATTGGTATTGGCTACGAAAGCTGTTTAAAATAAGATTTTTTGTGATACAGTCTCAACGACTTGAAAATTGCAGAGCACAGCAAAATCGAAATTTAAAAGAAAGTGCGAGTTTATTGGGTACTATACAAATTTTACAATGACTGTTGAAAAATAAATAAATTGATTATGATTCTTCTTCTTCATATTTTGTCATTATTCCATTTAAAAATCGAAATATTTGTCCATCGCCGACATTATACTTATAATAATTATTCGTTCCTTCTGGAATCATTGCTCGACGAAATGTCACATTTATTCGTCCTTGAGCATGTGTTCGTTTCGGTATCGAATGTAACCAATGTGCTTGTGTTTCGCCGCGCATTACTAATAAATCACCGGATTCTAATAAAAAATTTTGCGTTATTTTAGCATCTTGCTTATTTTTCATATAGAAATCACGTTGTGATCCCAACGAAAGTGAGGCAATTGTTGGTTTAACACCCAAAAATCGTTCATCATCACTATGGTAACTAATGGAATCATTACCAGATGAATAATAATTACATAATACAAAATTATACGTGGCAGATGTAGCACGTTCAACGCGATCTTTCAATTCCTAAATGAGAAAAACAAAACTGATGAATATCAGGAATATGATTAAAAAAAAAAAAATTCAGACGTTCGAATCTATGTTCGATCGATTTACCTGTAATACGAGTGGTATCTCTCTTGGTGGTCTCTGGTATACTTCTGCCGGTTGTTTTGTCTCATCAATTCCGAATACTGTTGTATATCTCGGTGTCGATATTTTTAAATTTTCTTTCGTATATTCTACACGATACCATGGCAATGATGTTAATAAATATATATAAAGTTCTTGATCTGTTGATGATTGAATAAAGGATTTAAAATAGATTAAATCTAATTGTGGTTTATCATTAATCACTTTTTGTTGTTTAACATTAATTGATAATGATAAATCAAACGTAGGTATAGGATAAGCAGTCAGAAATGGATAAACAAATAAGGAACGATCTAATTGTTGTTTTAGCTTCTTTTTGATGACAGTACTTTGACCGAAAAAGCGGTGCAAATCAGTATTAGTCGACGAATGTGGCGAAACCTTACGTTTTCGAGAACACATTAATCTAAAACAGAAACAAGAACCTATGTTTTTATGTTTGATCTGTAGGTGCATGTGACCAAGCAGGTCAAATTAATCATTTCAAAAATACATTCACAGATACATAGTACGATCAGTAATAACCAAAAGCTCGAGAGATGACAAGTGTTTTTGGAGATGTAGTATTATAGTAAACTATCTCGTGTAAAAAAACGTGACTATAAAACATATTCAGTCCCATGCTGAATAAAAAGTTCTTTAAAGCCAGATTAACTGCTTTTCCCGAGCACAAAGAATAAAAATTAAAATCGCAGCCTCACCACTCATTCTATGACTTGATCAATCTTTTCAATCGATTCTTGATCATCAGCATTAAATAATCAATACAGCTGTCAAGTTCTCCATTCTTCTAACTAATATCATTGTTACCATAATTACTAATAGTCAAAACGTTGTTATTTCTAATTTCTTACCAGCAAATTGTAATGAAATCAACTGTCGGTAATAAGCAACAGTCCGACGTGTTGACATTAGAGATCTGCACGGGTAAGATTTTTCTGCCCGTACCCGTTCATGCCCGTAGAATTTTCTGGAATGTTTGTCGTTGAAGCGAACGATTACCAGTCCGTGCTCATTCATGTCTGTGGCCACGGAAATTTCCATGTCCAGGCAGATCTCTAGTTGAGATTCTTGTAAAGTTTTATTAAAATGAGCAACGTAATGCTTGTTCTGTTGGATACTTTTTTCTGCACCGAGTTAAGAGCATGCTAGATCTTTACAGCAATCAACTATAATAAGAACAAAAAGTATAACAATGTCACAGTAATAGCCTAATTTGTTACGATTAAGGAAGGTTTTAGACATTTTAGGGTTTTAATTTCTCTTCCTGATTGATTATTTATTACAAAAATATATAGTTAACGTTTTAGTCACAAAGTGATCTTCTTCAAAACAAAATCAGCACACTACATTCATTAGTTTATAGTTTTCTTTACGGACGACAAGACTGTAATACGAAAATCAATTAATTTTCTTCGTCGTCCGAATCACTATTATTATCGCCGTCTTGTCTCCTGTTATCTGTCAGTGCTGGTCGTTTTGATTCAAATAGTTTCTTTTTGAATCTGATAGTCTCTTAATTCTTTCCGATTGTTGATGTAGTACGTTATTCCAAGCTTTATTCAGATCGTCATGTCTATTTAATGCTAACTTTTGATCTCTATTTATGCCACGATAGCTGAGAAATGTTGTGAACTTCTCTGATCCCGTGGGAAAAGCGTCCAGTGTAATTAAAGCTAGAAAGTTTTCTGGATACCCTCCGAAGACCCAAGGAAACTGGAAGTATACTATACTATGCTGTAAGTTTTATTAAGACTCACAATAATTAAATAGAAAATAACTTTAGGAGAATTTTGTTCAAAAAATTTCATAAAAATAGTCTAAATTTGTTAAATTGGTTTTTACTGCATGACCTCTGTTTAACTTAACTTTTTTTCAAAAACGCACTTAAGGAAAAACTTAAGTTTAACTTAAGTACTACTTAATTTTTCCCTTAAAAATCCACTTAAGTGAATACTTTTTCTAAGTTTTTTTGAGAAACAGGCCCCTGCCTGATCTTTTTGTGCCATTGGTGAGGTGATATGCTTTTACAGTATGCGAAGTCAGCCAATTTTTTCATGATATTTTCTTCTACTCTATTTACGGCCGTTCCACGTAAAAGTCCACTTTCACGTAAGTCTGTGACATTTTGTGAGACAGATAGCTCTTTAGTCGAGCAACATACGGGGTTAGAGAATGTCTTATTTTATAGCTTAAAGACTTTTCTTTCAAAGGGTAATTAAGCATAGTCTACCAGTCGATTAGTTTAAGTAACATGATGTTTTTGCTATACGCCACTTTCGTACAAGATGGCTTTATTGGCACGAATTATGGGTAGGTTCTTAGGGTAGGGCTTAATTCCCATTTGAAAGAAATATCTTTAAGCTACTAAATAAGGCGTTCCCCAACTGTGTACGTTGCTCGGCTGAAGAGCTATGACTTTCACAAAACGCAACGGACTTACGTTTTTTGGCTGATACGCGTGGAATGGTCGTTTAGAGAATCCATATTTACGTGTATTTTTATTAGAAGATGATTTTATTCTCAAACGACAAGTTTTGTGCATAAGTGGCTTTTCTTTGGTGATTTTTTTCATTTTTTCGGTTGTTTTTGTTGCTAGGTAGTAGAAATAAATAAATTCAAGACAAATATACAAAAAGGAACTATATAAAATCCATACGTAGAATCAGTACGGAAAATATCTCTACAGAAGCTTTTTTGAAAGCAGGGGAAAAAGGTATCGTACGAAACCTTGTTCGTGCAGAACCTAAACATGGTTTCAATTCTCGAAACCCTTTTTAAGTTCCGTACGGCACCTTTTTTTTGAGAGCATCCTAATCAGCAGCCATCAATGTTAGAAAGCATAGATTCAGATACCAGCGGTGGACGAGTCACCACTTTTTCGAGTCTGAGTCGAGGTCCGAGTCCTAGTCGCATCAAAAATTGACTCGAGTCACTTCGAGTCATTTTCTAGAGGAAAACTTCCTCCTGATTCATTTTTCCAAGAAAAGGTTTTCAATCCTTTCATGTGACGCGATGTTCTACTTAGAATATTCTCAAATCTCTCTTCTCTGGTACATACCAAAATATAATAAACACCGTCATAACAACCCTGAATTGCACATGATTGACTCGCAAGTAACTCGAGTCAGTTTATCGGGTCGACATTTTTTGCTTTCTTATATGGCAGCCATAACCATTAGAAATACAATCATATATAGTCATAGGCTCGTCCTTGAACAGCTATATTCAAGAAAGGAAAATTTGTGTAGTTATATACAAGAGCGTGAAACAAATTTGTGGTTCAAGAATTATCCAGACCTTGGCACAAGAACTCACCAAAATTGCAAGACGTTCAAGATCTTGGATTCTTGGAATTTCTTGAATTTTTTACGTTTTCTTACCAAGACCTTGGTTACAAAAAGTTTCACTAGAGGATAGGCTCAAAGTATTTTCTTCTCTCCCTATCGAATTTTTACCCGAGCGTCAAGCAGAATAAAAGCCTATCTTTATTTTGAACAATGCAACTATGAACAAATGCAGTTCAAGTCAAGATAATTCATTCTCTATTCTATATATATGGATTAACAATATACCTAGGCCAAGTACATTCACTAGGAGTAACATTATCATCACTACTGAGAAACTGAAAGAAAAACTAAATGAAAATGTTCAAAATTGAGAGAGAGCAAAATCTGTAACTTGAGGAAAAAATCAGTCCTCTCTACGTAAACACATACATATACAACGATGATTGAAAAATATGCGAAGGTAGTTGCTAGAACAATTCTAGCGTCTTTTGAATGACGTAAGGCACTCAGACTTCTGTGTCTATAACACTACGAATCACAACATCCCGAAAGCCATTCACAATAAACAGAGCGTAGAGCCTTGAGAAGAAACTTTAGACGCTTCTCTAAAATATATTCCTAAATGTTTGCTCTTTGATGACCTCCGTTCATTTTGAAACACACTTGCATGAGAAATTTACAACATAACACATAGAGATAGAGTGCGCGTTTTAAACTGTACCCAAATATTATGGAGTATTGGAACTTGCTTAGCGTCATTTATCTTCGCAGAGCATGTGATAGTGAGATACGCGGCACCTTCATTACGTTCAACAGGTTCCAGAAAAAAACGAAAAATTATAAGTTTTGACGGATGGCAAAATGGTGACAGAGTACTGGTTATATTACGACAAAAAAGTAGATGGAACATTGTCAAAACGTTTTAGTACATTTAATTACAGCATCGACTTCTGCTCTCTTTTCGATTAGGAACTTTCATTGTTTTAGCGGAAAGAAATGAACTGCTAACATCTCAGGAATGATCTGGTCAAGAGTCTTTAAATTGTTGAGTAATCACCATATCGTCTACGTAATACGTGCATAATATATGAAGTTCAAAGCCATCATAAATATAGATCGAGAGATTCGAGTACTTTCGCTTCCTACTGTATTAGTTGCTCCTGGCAACCTCTTGAAAGAAATTATGATACCGAGATGCTTTGGTGATATCAAAAAATATAATATAGATTGAGTCGGCCTTTACTAGTAAAATACAAGATTATGCAAAGATGAATAAAGTCTGTTTACCCTGTGTTCCTGAACTATATGTCAAAGGAAAGTGGTTATCCCGAAATGATCTCTCTGCGTTCGATATTAATCGACAAGGTGAAAATCATTTTACACGACTGATTAGACCACAGCCGAAACCGGTTAACCCACGACCAGTCATCAACTGTGATAATTGTACAACAAAAATTATTCGACCAGTTCATTCAGATTACATCGACACTGTAAGTGGTATAAATTCGATTAAAAAAATACGCAGAAAGATCTGTCGTGAACGAGGAAAATACCGAGAGCGGAATTCAAAGATGAGCTCTAATTGATATAATTGACTGTTGGTAACAGTGAAGTATCGTTTAAGACGAAACGTGTAATACGTATATTTACTAGAAAAAATTAATTATAATGCCTTATTACTGGTACAACTTCTATGTGCTGTAGTTAAGTTCCAATAGGTTCTGTTCGATACTTTTTTCGACCAGCTATTATTATTTTTTCTAATTAAAAATGTCAGAGAGATCGAAAAAACTATCATCCATATGATGATATTTGGAATCCATCACATCGACAATGTACACCGCTGAATTATAGACATAATCGACATTATCTCGAGATACAACCAGCTAATAATACATTAGAGTTTCGCTTAAGAACATGTTATGATCATGCAAAAGACTCACTAGTCCCAAAAGCAAGATTCGTTGTTCAACCAGAAACAGTGAATGGGTATCAATATACTTTCGCTTAAGAAAATCACACATCCCAAACATCTTTCTGTTTATTTATTTCAGTAGATCACTCAAACAAAAAGAATTGTATAATTCTTATTCGAATAATAATCTTTCGTTAAATCATCCGCTAATGATTATTGAAGACAGACGAAAGCAACATTTTAATGAAGCAGTTAATGGACAACATATGGGTACTTATTATCTCATCAGTTATCGATCAACATTACATTTAATTCTATATTCAGGTACACACCATATGAGTAATGGAAAAAATGGATACGTCCGAGTTGAACTTGGACGATTTTCTCTCGATTAATATTATTCAAGCTATAATTTTTACAAAACAATTATAAAAAAATTAAAAGAATATAACAAGTTTGTGATCAGAAGAAAAACAGCATCTTTCTTCACAGCTTAATACACAAGAAAAAAGTAACAAAAAAATATAAAAAAATATATAAAAAAAAGAAAAAAAATCTATCATTTGCATTGTCGATAAAAATTTTTTTATTTATTCACACATAGGCAGACTAAAACTTATAATTTACGGATTGAGAAGATGATTACTAACAGCTTGCAAATTTCCTTCGTATATAACCAGATAATTTCTTAAAGTTTCCACATTTTCATGAGGAAACATATCGACAAGTTGTGCTAAATTATCCATCATCGTTCTATCATCATTTTTATCTAAATCAAAAAACGTACTAAATATAATAACTTCCAGATTTTCCTATTCTATATTATGTTTTTTCTTACCATATAGAAAACAGTTGACTAGCAATGTACACAGAGATTCTGTATCTATCACACTGTTCTACTCTTTCATACTTCATATTTGAAGCATGTCTCATTTACAAATCCCAAACAACAGATACTTTTTTACTTACGATTAATTTCATCTATATCGTTTTCATCATCTGACAACGTTGTGTATTTATCCATATCGGTGTTTTCTGTAAATCTGGCTTCATCATTTTCTGTTTTGACTTTCGATTGAATTTCATTCTCTAAAGAGGTTGTGGAAAATCGATTTAAAAATTGTTCCATTGTTCTGTGAAAACGAAAGAAAAATGAGGATGTTATGAAAAAATTTATTAGAATTTCAACTTACGCTTTTCGATCACGCTCACGTTCAGTGTCTGTCCAAACGGGAAATGCAGGAGGGATAGATTCCACCTAGATCAACGAACTTTGTAGAGTTAAGAATAATCACGTTCGTGGATAAAACATTATGAACACAGTCGTAACTGTTCTGTGATGCCTTTTCGTAACATCATTTCAAATAAACAGTCTGATGTTTTTTTTATTGTTTACCTTAACATTCGATTTTTTTTGTGTTGGAACAGAATGGACTTGTTTACTTGCTGTATTCACTTGGTTCAAAAACTGTTCTTTCTGACTAAAATACATGGACAACAAAACTGTGCATAAGGTAAGTGAAACAGAGATACGAGACCTACGGATTTAATTTCTCTCTCAGTTCATTTTGTCTTTCTTTATCTTTTCGTTCATTGGCTATTGTCTAATAAGAATTGAAGAAAAATCAGTTTTAATACTCGATGTCATTCAAAAAATATCGAAAATCATCTTTTCTGTAATTTCACCTACTTTTAATCGTGCTTCTTGTTTTTTTGTTTCTAATTCTTTTTCTTCTTCTTCTTTCTTTTTCTGCTGAGCACTTCGAAATTTTCCCTACGAAGAAACGAATCAAATGGTGAGAACATAAAGGTATCAACTAATGAACATACTTGTCGTTCAATTTTTTCTTGTCTAAACTTTTCTGCTTGTTTTTCACGTGCTTCAGCTTCAGATATACATTCACCACCTAATTAAAAGCATAGAATGAATTTTTAAGTAAAAGATAAATTGTTAACCAACCTAAACGATGAACTTCATTAATATTTTTTAAACGATTTCTCTCAACATGTTCCATATATTGTTGTTTTTCTTTTTCAGCTTGTGCTATCATTTTATCTCGTTTTGTTGAAATTGGTTGAAACATGAGATATCCACTGCTGCAAAAAAAATAAATAATTAAATTATACGATCGTAAGTGAAACAAATATTCTACATTTTTTAAGTCGTTATTTTGCTATTTAAACTCAATATTATTGTGGACTAGTAAAGTTTGCATACCCAATGAGTGGTTGTCTGTTTGTTGATGTTGTTGTTGTGTCAGCACAATCATTGGGTGCAATTTTATCTTCTTCATTTTCGTATGAATTATTCTGGTACGCTGTTGGTCGATTTCGTTGAGGCGAATTTGACAAATTCGTATTCGATAGTCGCCTTGCTGTTGTAAAATTCATATTTCCATTGTATGGATTATTATTGCGTGTTTGATGTTGTCCAACAACATTTGTTCGACGAGTAGGTGATGTGCTTGGCACTCGTGTGTCACCACCGATGTTTGTATTTGGATTATTTGAACGAGTGGGTCGCGTTGAACGATTAGTATTTGAAGGATATTGAAATGTATTAGACATTCTGAATGAAAATAAAACGATATAAGAATTAAAAGAAAAGCAGTAGTAAGTGCAGTATGAAAGCATTTATGACTAATTAATTAACTATACTACAATCGCCGTTTGTTACAAAGAAAAGAACAAGAATGTAAAAAGTGATTACTGTTTTAATTAAACGCAAAATAGTTAACAATTGATATTGTATATAGATCAAAAAACTGATTTAAAAGATAAAAGCACATTCTGCTGAGTAAAGATCGTTGTTATTAACATAATTACAACTAGAAAAAATAATATATGGCATGAATGGTAAAAAAGGACGCAATCTACACATTGTAAATTGAATCGCATATTATTAAATAAAATAGAAAAACATGAATACGGGTGACGAGTGACAAAATTAAAAATATATAAACTATATAAAAAACGTTTTCTAGAGACTCTGAAGTAGATGATAAGATGGTTGAGAAATCACACTTCCATTACCACCATATTCAATAAGTATTATCTTTACTATCTGAAAATGAACCATCAAACCATATGGTATTTAAAAATAGAATATTTTAGAAATTCACTTTTATTCACCTGTTATATTGTAATGATGTTCCTTCTGTAATTAATCTAAATATTTCATTTGTATGCTCCTCTAATATTTCTTTTGATCTCAAATTTCAGTTGTTTTATTTGCACTCACCGTCATAACACGATTTTTCTGAGGATTAAATACAGTCCACATATAGTAAGAATATCGAACAGTGGATAATCTCTTCCAGTATTCAACTGCAGTTGAGCATTACTTACTTCAGCCATATATCCAATCAATGTATGAACTTTTCTAGAACAGAAAGTAAGATTTATGTCAGAGGAGAACAAATTGATATAATATGAAAAATATTCTTATGTCATTAGATGCAAAAGAAAGGTTCAGTTAACTTGCAACTTACTCATCACTTCTAACATTCCATACGGCTATTTGTCGAACAATACTGTTATCATTTGATCATCACTTCTCTAACTAAACTAACGGAAGAATGTGTGTGAGCACATAATACCTGAAAAAAAGGGCTGTTGATTATCTATTAAGTAAAACCACTCTATTTACAACAAAGAAAAGATATCATAAGGAAAGCATTTTCTTACAGAAACTTAAACAGGAATGATAGCCGCCTATACCAATTGTATCAAGTACTACATCAATGTACGCTTTTTATACAACAGAGAGTCTTTTGCGCGTTTTCTATCGGATAACCATGTGGGGGAGATTTCTTATCTTATCACTAACTTATTAGGCTTATCGATGTAATCAGCCATGACGAGTCTTAATTTACTGTCAGTTTCGCGATCTCTCGATTAGGGTTGATATGATTCATATTTTGCAAAATGATTGCATGAATATATTCATTTTTTATCAAGTAGCTAGGAGATTCCTTCACCGCGATTAATCATAAGAAAGGTTCCGAATATCTTATATAGTGCTGCACTAGCACAGAGCGACATCTTTAAAACATGACAATATGAAAGCTTAAACTTATTATCATGCATTGTTTCTCAATTAGGAATGTGTCTAAATTCGTTATAACACAGCGAAACAAAATTGTTGCCTTTTATAGCACTAAGTAAATAGTATTTTGTATAAAAATATCTGAAAAGTTGGCATGTCGTTTTCGAGAAATTTGGACAGAGCGGCTAGAGTCGCATTTTTCGAAAAATGTATGTAACGGCTCGTTTGGCACATGTATTGATCATTTCGCTTGATCAAGTCTCCAACACATTTTTTTTAACTACATAAAACTATCAAACAAGTTTTAAAAGAGTTATGAAAACTGGTCAAAATTTCAGATGTTCCGCTGTAGTTTAAAAAATTGTTATTATCAACACGCAAGTTTGAACATTAGATTGCTAAGAGAGTAGCACCTTCAGCCGTTTAACAGAGTTGTTCGACCTCGGTGACCTCCAACTCAACTTTTCAACTTTTTCATTGTTTTGTTTTCAGGATAAAAAAACAAAAACAGCTTGCTTTAATGAACATGACATATTGTTTTTATTGGCAAAATTTACAAATATACAAATGATTTCTAAAAATATGGTAAAATAGGTATAAGACCGTAATTTTCAATTAGTGTGTATGTTCCTAACCCGTGCTGTTGTACGTCACTTAAGCGCTCTTTTGTCATAATCGAAAATGGTGATGATGCCAACATTTGATAATCGAGTGATTGTTGTTGTTGTTGTTGTTGTTGCATCATTATTGAATATTGTTGTTGTTGTTGTTGTTGATCGTAGGGGCCAGGCATAGGCGGTATAAATGGACCGCTACTTTGTAAATGAAATTGCTGAACTACTTTTGGCCTTGGTGTAGGTAGTAATGGAGCAGCAGGTGATGGTGGAATGGAAGAGACTAAACTTTCGTTCGGTGGGAGTGTTGTTGTTGATGTTCCAGCCATACGTGATCGCTGTAAATCCAGTTCACGTAGAATTTGAATATTTCGCTGAGTTTGTTCACTGGATAACGACTGTGTTGGATTTTGAATTGACGACATTTGTATTTCAAATCTGGAATCAAAAATATTCATCAATAGCAGATAATGAAAGTAAAAATTATATACTGCAATCTGAATTATTTGATGTCATGACTGAAGATCACTAGACAGTTAAGTTCCTAAGGTCAATTGGATGAAAATTTGTACTTTTCCTTCAATGAGAACATTTAAAATTAACAGAAAAGTAGGTTAGAAAGACGCCAATAGCATGAATCTCGCAGCCTAGAGATTTTCGAACATGCTGAATCTATTGGTGATGTTAGTTTTCTCTGATTCTGACTTTCATAATGTGATTCTGGAAAACTTGCATCTTGACTTGACAAGTCTTGGGGGCATCTTTATTTAA